GATGGATGGATGGATGGATGGATGGATGGATGGATGGATGGATGGATGGATGGATGGATGGATGGATGCTCACTCTGTAGAGCAGGAGCAATAGTCTGGGTGAGTCTGAAGTTGCGGTTGGCTCTGAGGCAGATTCCAGTGCTGTACAGAGAACTTCCACATTCGTGAGACCAAAGAGGACCACAGCTCTGTGGAAAGATTTGTTAGGATTATTTAAATTGATAATGTGTGAGTCTGTTAATCTCTAATATTTCAATAAATCCAAAACTCTCTGCAGGTTCTTGTATTTGTCGTCCACTCTATTAGGCTGGTTTTTGAAACACACGGCGAGAAGGTGGGAGCCGGGTCGTGAGGGTCACAGGGGCGAGTAGCGCAATAGTTACTTTTACTAGTAACTAGTTACTTTTATTGTGGAGTAACTCAGTAACTCCACTATACTCAGTAACTAGTAACTATAACTAATTACTTTTTCAAAGTAACGTGCCCAACACTGCTGGAGGGTGAAGAGGAACGGTGCCAGCACTGCTCCCTGTGTGACCAACGTACTGCAGACCAACCTGTCTGATTTTTGCCAGAATCTGTTGTCATCTCTTGTCTTCTGGTTATGTACATTATGAGGGTTACTGAAAGAGTTTGTCCTGAGAGGGATTTCTTCTCAGAAAAAGAACTGGACAAAAGCTACAAGGTTGAAACACAGAGCTTTACTTAACACATCCATGTCAATCAAGCTGTTTAAGCAGGATTTTTATAAATTCAGTCAAAAAATAAATAAATTGTGCAATCCAATTCTAGAAAAAAAGGTTTAGAAGATGCTTGAACTTTTCTACTGAAGGCATGGAATCTCTTCCAACCTGAAGTTGACATGCCACCTTTTTCTGGTCAAGAACCAGAACCATAGACTTGGACTTGCAGCTTTGCACTCAGCTGTGAATTGCCCCTGCCGCTAGATAAAAAAAAAACCTGGAATAGTAGAAAAGTTTTCCCTTTTATGGAAAACATCAGACTTTGATTTGATTTGATCAATCTAGTCACTCTACACCCTTACAATTGTTTTTGTTTTTAGGGTGGAATCTGGTCTGTTAACAGGATTCACTGTTTGTATACTGTAGTGCCAATTCCACTACCTTATTAAAACGGTGCAGAGATCAGTCCGAGCACGGGAACTAAGATAACTGCTGAGTGTTAATGGTACGCACAACTGAACTGGTGATGATTCTGCTTAGCAGTGGGATGAATCTCAACGTCTGTCGTTTCCTGTGTCTGGAAGCCCTGATTAGACTATCGTTTGTCGCATCCACTTCCCAAAAGCAGACTGTCAAGTAAATTCACCAAAGGCTGCCTTCTTCTCCTGACTCTCCACAAACATTGAAATATCATAATGATAATTCAATTCAGTCTCATTTTAGTTTATTTCTATAGCTCCAATTCACATCATGTCATATCAGGGCACTTTCCAGTTCACCAGATCATGCTGTCAGATTGATTCGAAGTTTCCTATCTTAGGAAAACCAGCTGATTGCATCGACTCATTGACTCTTCAGCAATCCCTCACACTAAGCATGCTTGAACCATTTAAACAGCATCTTGCAAAATTTGAAACATCTCTTATATTCACAGTTTATGTAACAACTTGTTCTGTAATAATTAACAACTTATCAAGCAAATATGTTTTAACATTGGGCACAATTAAGCCTTTTTTTGTTGTAACAAACCAATGGACACCCTTTTTTTCAACGCAGCTCAGCTATTAGAATATGTGAATATTAGAAAATGTGACAGTAACAATTACAAGTGAAAGCAGACGCCAATTGCAGATATAAGAGTGTTTACTTTCTTTTGTTTAGTGTTTTATGTAGACTTATTTATCCAATTATTTTCACTTTTTGCTGTTTCCTTATGGTTAGACTCTTGTTACCTCCTTTTATTTTGACCTTTTATGTCCTCTGGGACACTTTGGAAAGGGTGTTTTAATTCTCAATCAATTTTGGAGACTAGATCTTAATTTACGCTGTTTCAGTCTGATTAAGTTACAGTGATTGAGCAGATTTGATTACAGATCTGAAAGCAGGTTTGAATTTAAACAGATGTTTTTTAGTGCACACTTAGATTTTTTATCACCAAACACACGTCAAACAGCACCGGTCATACAGAATCACAAACCTCAGAGCTCTTCAAGCACACAAAATTCATTCCTTTAAAGCCATGGCAACTAGTTTCATGTGCACATCCTTTTTCTAACTTCATAGACCCAAGCAGCCAATTTAAACTAATTTGCATGCACTTTTTAACTCTTTTTAGCAACTTTTGGTCTAACAAAATCAACACAGAGCCAACCTGCTCTGTTTCTTTCTCCAGAGATAAACAACATTGAGATCTCAATACAGTCGCTCTGGACTCAGGCCTTTTTCTCAACATCACAGCCCTTCAGGCTCAGGCGAACTTGGCAACATATTAATAAGGCGACTACAACGGTCCCACACATACTTATTTATTTTAGTTGCATCATTCATAATGATACAATACTTATAATCTGTGACCTCGAGTTTCCACCACTTTCTACCATTATGGTGTGACTTTACTTCAGCAGATTACTCTTAATGATTCCTTGCTCCAAGCCAGCCCTGACAGCTCCTTTCATCTCAAGATGCCAATTTATGCTGCAGAACAATCCGGTAACAAAAAATGAATGAATCTCTTAAATTAATTTAGTGACCAGCACAAGCTTTCTGCCTATACTAGTTAATAAATAGGAGAGCATTGATTTAACTCACCTCTCCTTTTTTCTTTGTTTTTTTCCTTGTTTTCACCTGGGAGGTCCTGATTCGAGAAATATTAATAGAATAGACTTCCAGTATCTGTTCTAGGTTTTGTCCCTCTCTTCTTGTCCCTTTTCTTGTTGTTTTTCTCTCTATGTTTTGTACTCAACTGACTTTTCATGCTGTCTATAAGGATAAGGATTTTTATCAAAAACATAATTAATGCACAAATAAGGAATAGTTGATTTAACCATACATGTAAACAGGGTTTTATGGGGCCCCCAGGAACTTGGGGCCCTAGGCAGCTAACTAGTATTGCCTAATGGTAAATCCTCCCCTGTCTACAGCTTACCCATGACCCTTAACTAAACCTCACTATTATATCTAACCCTAACCTAAATGTAATTCACACCTTAGTCGTTGGCTCAATGTTCTACTTTTCCAGAAAAGGCCCCCCTCCTCCTTCATTCAATCCTGGCATCATTAATCACATTTAAACTCTTTTTTTATATATATATAACTCACCACAAAGCTGCTATCTTTGGAGTTGGAGGTCAGGGACATTCCTAATCTCATCTTGTCCTTTCTTTCGGCCACGTTGTCCCGGGAATGTTTTCCTGATGAATCAAAGTAGTAAACAATGTTAAAAGCGAGTCATATTTTCCACTCAAAAAGGGCTTATTTGAAATTATTGCTTATGTGTTTAAAAAAAACTCAGACCTCAGTAAGAAAAAGAAAGTGTAGCACTCTCCAGCACTGCATGCAATTATTAATTATATTCTAGTCTTGAATGTTTTCCTCATATTAGTCAGATATTTCCTTGTTTTCCATCTTGAGTAAAACAAAAAATTGTTGAAATCAGGACAGCAGTTTGAGCCTTGGACGCTCCTTATGAGGAAAAGGAGTTTACCACATCATCAAACACAGACTGTTAAAGATTCTCAGTCATCCAGGTCAGAGTCATTCCAAAAAAGTTAAAAAAAACAATCCACTGGACTTTGTTTCCAAGTTTGAAGACATTTCTCTTCCCATCCAGGAAGATTTTCCCATTCAAAATATCAGGAATAGAGTTGAGTTCCAGTTCCTGTTTTTTGTCTTTAGAGCTGAATATGGTGACAGTGAAACAACTTTATGTAACTGTTTGGTCAAAGTTAACAACTTATCCTGAGTGCTGTGATAAATGGAAGGGTTTTTTATCTCCGCAGAGTAGCTTGAATATTGGTGATTCTTCTATTTTTTGTATTCTTAGCTTGTTGGTGTATCCAAAGCTTTCTCATCTTTCAAGGGTTTTTTTTTCTGGTAGCTTTAATCACTTTAGATTAGTTTGGTTTTGTTTTGCTTCTTCACCTTTCTCTGTCCCTGTCCGCACCTGTTAGTGTTTCTGTTAACTGCACTCACCTGTTTGCAGTTACTCCCTGTGGTATTTGAGTCAGTGTTTTCTGTTCCCTCATTGTCTGGTCCCCTTTTTACATCCTGTTTACATCCTGTTCTGTCCCCCAGGGAGTATTTCATAAAACCATCCCAGAAAAGTCAGACTTAAATGCCCAATTCTGACTCAACTTAGGCACAACATGTCAAGCAGTGATTACTGGGTTTCACAAAAGGAAGTCTCACTGGCTTTATGTCACTAATTCAAGACAGATTCAACTAATCAGTGTTGTTGCTCAAATCAGCAGACTATGCAGTTGATTTCAGAGTAAATTTTGAAATTGTTGATGCTCACCATATTTCACTGGTAGAAACCTATGAAAAGTTCAGAAAAAAAAGGGAAATGCTTTCACCATAAAAAAAAAATAGGTAAAGGAGATGGTAGGCCAGTTTTGAGAGATTAAATTAGTATTTTATTTGCAGAGATATATCCAAATTCAGTGTGCTCTTTAAACAATGTCAGTTTTGAAAACATTTTAGATAAGTGTTTGTCTTAATCTTTTAACCAAAATGTAAAATATTATAGGGAAGATTTATTTATATGCTTCTATCTCAGTCTAGTCTAGTTTCAGTCTGAGAATCTTAGTCATGTTTTTAGTCCTGAACAGATTTTAATGAAGCATTATTCAGATTTTAGTCAGCAAGACGCCTGCTTAGATTAAAACAATGAGAGACACAGATAATTCAAGAAATTAAACCTTCTTCCCTTCACCTTGTAACAGATGAAAACAAAGTACAGCAAGCTTATTAAAAATACTAATCCTGACTGATCAATGTTTATTTGAACAAAGGAACAAAAAGATTCAGGCTCTAGAAATCAGAACCATTTTCACGTTTAAATAACCGAATTCATATACGGATTGAATCTCAGCCGCAAAAGCAAACAGAGAAAAAAACAAAAAACAAAAAGCTATGTAAATGTATGGATTGTTTGTTTTGATTGTTCCTGGTGTTCCTAACAGAGCACTTCACTCTCAATCTGCAGGTTTACTGGTGTTTCCTAGAATTTCTAAAAGTAGAATGGGAGGCA